TCTTAACCTCCCTTTCGAACTGCTCGCTAAGAAGTTTAAAGGCGTCTCCCTTCTCAGTGAGCTCATGAACTTTAGCTTTGAGTTGTTTCAGCTCGTCCTAGTACCTTAAAAAGGTCTCGTGATAAAGGACCGAGGAGAAACACTAAGTTATCTATGAAATAATCTAAGTGTAAATCAAAAAATCACTTAGGACATCATAAAGTTACCCGGTTCAGCACATGTTGTGCTTCGTTGAAACGGCAGGGTGCATCCACCTCGTTCATCTTGGCTTGATCATCCTCGGTCACCCAACACCAAAGAAAATAGGTCACCCTTACGGGAGCGGAGAGGACTCGAGCATCCTCCGGAAGGGAGATAACAATGGATCACTTCCGATCAGGATTAGAACTTGGGGCAGGGAATCGATCAACCAATTTCGGGTTCGAGGAAGGCCCGCTTGCTTTATAGGGTGAGATCTTCCTCGGTATCTCTAAATTGCCAAATTCGGTGGTGTCCTTCATGGCCGCCTAATCCACGTCGTAGAAAAAATTGCGGAAGGGGTCGTTCGCTCTATCGGCCCCCTCGACGGGGCGTTCTTTTGCACCTTATGCCTCGTTGAACATCGACTCATTGAATGAGGGCGACTCGACAATCTCTATCGGGCCAAGTGCTTCCTGCGGAGCTTTTCCAGCATCCTAGGAAGCTTAAGTTTCTACCTCTTCCTCGGCCTTCCCGACTTGATGAAGATCTGCCTCGCCTCCCTCTGGTTCGGAGGCCCCTTGCCCTTTGAGCTACGGCAGCTCGCTGTCCACTTTCCCCCTCGGACTCATCCCTCAATCGATAGAGTGAGTCCGGAGACAGTACTCGAGCACTGGTACTTTTCTTGGGTTTATGCGCCAATCGTTTCCTTGGCTTCTTCTTCTCAGAGCTCGGAGCCCTTTATCGTTTCTTCTCTTTATCTTGCCTCGGAGAAGATGGTTCGGTGAGGATATCATCATCATCGGATAGAGGCCTCGTTGCGACATCTTTTGATAAACCTGCCAAAAGAAAAATATGAGTAAGAATTGAACAACGCAGAAGGGAAATCAAATGCCTCTTAAGAAAAATCTCACCATGGGACGGGCCTCTCATCGACCCTTCGAAAGCTCGCGCAAAGAAAGCTCGGAATAGGGCCTTTGTGTAGCAATGCCCTCGACCTATTCCTTGAGTCAAGGAACTGCATCCGGCATCCAAGCAACAACTGCATCACCACAAAACATCATGAGAACGGAGGAAAAGGAAGAGCGATGAACAAAATATTGAAAGGAAGATTATACTTACGTGTCATGTTCCACTTCTCAGGAAATGGCATATGCTCGGCTGGGATCAAAATTGAGGTCTTCACTCGGACAAAGCGGCCTAACCAGCCTCGATCCCGATCTTTGTGGATGCTCGAGAACGGGGCCTTACTGGACCGACGAGCAAGCTTGATTAGTCCCCCTCGATAAAGTCGGGGACTATATAAGCGCATCAGATGGTCTAGGGTAAAGGGATACCCCTTGATCTTGCTTACGAAAAAACAAAGGAGAATTACTATCCTTCAAAACGAAGGGTGAATTTGACGAAGGGTCACCTTATACCTCTTACAGAAGGCAATAATGACCGGGTCCAAGGGACCCAGCGTGAAGGGATAAGTATTAACACTTAAAAAGCCCTTCACATGGATAGTGATGGGCTCCTCAAGGTTGGGGACCACTACGTGCTTATTAGCCCAATTGCAATCTTTCTTGACCTCGAAAAGGACATCCTCGGTGATCGAGCAAATATATCTCGAGACCGTCTCACACTGACCCGGTACCGAGGAGGGATTCTCTGTCTTGAAATCAGCACCGGTCAGACACCCCCCGAGGATGAACATTTTTAGAGGAAGTTCCGATGCCGATTCCTCGGTAGCAGCAGACGAAACGTTTTCGTCTACAGCCGGTCGCGAGGAAGAGGGAGTTTCTTTTTGGAGAATAGGTTTTGAAGTATTTTCCATTTCTTTGATAAATGAAGAAAAGAGAGGGAATTAAAAGATTAAGCTTGATGGTTGGGGAAAAAAGCAGAGCAGAAGTTCTTATAAAAGGATTTCAGAATAGCTAGAAATTTAATGCTTGGAAGTGTTGAAATTTCTAAGAAACCAGAGTAGAGAAGATTTAGATGTAAAGTTTGAATGAATGAAGAAGGGGGTATTTATAATTTTCAAATGACAGTTCAAAGCCAGGAGTGGCCGACCAGAAACTGAGGAGCATTTAATACCATTAAGACGTGATTGACGAGACATGTCATTTCTGACGTGGAGAACCGAGGTTAATATCGGAAGCTCATATCGTTTCTCATCGTTTAGGCTCTGAAATATGAGGGGACTATCTGTATACGATCGAAATCGGGCTCGATTATTGCTTGATAGATCGGGCTCGGAACGCGAGGGGTTGAAGATCGACCCCGAGTCTCATCGAACCAGAACACGAGGTCAGAATATCCGTTCTCGAGAACATCGAGCCCATGATCCCGGAATTGACCCTGACCCCGGATAAGCTCGAGAAAACATTGCCGGTATAACCAACAGAAGACTGAAATAACGGAAGGTCGAAAGATCTGTAACCAGTCGGATATTTCGACGGGAATCTCGATACGTATCGATAAAGAACCGGTAAATCAACAAACTAAGAGATTCTTACCTTTTATATAGATGTACCTAAAGTAGGGTTCCCCTACTATATAAAGGGGGTCTAATTACCTGTAAAACACATTGTAACTCGCATCCCAAAGCAATATATTGTTATTAGTTCTTATTATTCTCTTAACATTCTGTTTTGATATTGATAAAATCACTTTTGGCTTGAGGGTAGCTAACCTTCTAAGGCGAAGACCGTTCAACTTGTGTGCTTTGCATTTACTCTACTATTGTTTATTTTAATTTCAATATGATTTATCATTTTGTATCAAGGTAGATCACGTATCCTTTAAACCATGTACAAATTTAATTGTTATCCGATTTTGAGGGTAAACAAATTCTTTATACAAGAAGTGTACGGAAAAAAAGATATCAAGCAAAAACATAGCTTCATAACATATCTTTATTCAATCATCTATATATTTAGGATCTTATGGACAAAACCTTAGTCCATTCCATGAGTACTCCGAAGATAAGGCCACTTTCAGAGTAACTGTTTAAAACCAAAAAATTGCAGAAATATGATTTTTTTTAGGGGTGATCTTTAAATTTTGACCCCCGCTTGGTCAAGTGCTCCATGTGCTGAATTTCAAGGTAAATAATTAAAAGTATTGTCCATGGAGCAAGAGAAGGTCAATACTTGTTAAACTTGAAGTTACGTTCATGGGGTAAGCATGAACAAAATTTCAAGACCATCCCCTTTAAGGGTTATTTGTGTACTTCACCCGTTTAAAACATAATCAATGATTTTAATGTATTTAAATCATAGCCACTTATCATGTGAGCGGCACATGGTTGATTCTTCTACACAATTTTGAGGTTAGTGTCATGAAGTTTGAACTCTACAACTCAAACTTTACAAAGTGTCCTGAAGTTCAACTTATGGAGTTTGAACTTTAGGACATTATCTTGAGACCTGAAGTTCTATTTATGTACTGAGATTCTTGCTTTTTATTTAGGATATTGGTATTAAATTCTATTTTCTTTACTCATAGAGCTTGCATAGAGCTGCTTTACTTCGACAACTCTCCACCAATTTTGGATACTAAGGCCAAGGAAGCCACTTACCAGAAAGTGTTAGTTTGAGTGCCTTTATGGATTACTAAAGAACTTGGTTCTTTACCTTACTCCTTAAGCGTAAAGTAAAATAAGAAGCAAAGTAAACACATCAATCTTTACATGAAAAATTACCCGGCTCAAAAGGTGCAAAAATCACGAACTACTACGCAGAATTTTCAACTTCAACTTTACTAGAACAATGAGCCAAATGTATCAATTATAAATCTGTAAGTCAATACTCTCTAGTATTCCTACTTCAGCTATTTGATTTACAAGTTATTCTAGCTTGCAAAACAAATACTCACTCTAACTCACTAATTATTTATGACACTTTGATTACAACTCAATTTCCTAAAACATATTTACTATACTTACTCAAGAAAAATACAACACTTGTACTCGACTTGAGTGCAGAAAATGTAGTTCTTCAGTTGATGTGCAAAAGGATAATCCCAACAGTCCAAAGAGATAGTATTTAAATTCCCTGGACTCCAAGATCTTTTAGGAGTCCTATGTGTAGTCAACATATTGTTTGATAGGACTCCTACTAATACAAGGACTCCACAAGTCTTAGGACTCTTGTCTCTCACTTATGCATGCGTATCTTCTTAGGTAGCAACCCTTATTATGTTTAGCAGTCTTCTTCTAACAAACTCGGCCTGGGTAACTTTGAGATAAAATTATTGTCTTGCAAAGATATACAATCATCAACCTTGAGGAGCTGGTCCTTAATCCTAAGGATCTGGTTCTTAGAGCAGTTAAGCAGCTACGTTGGGGACCTCATTCTTAGAGCATTTCATATGAACAAACTTTATTAATCATCAAAATCTCAATACTCAACAAATACTTCCTTATTGATGATGACAAACTTTGTGCATATTAGAACCAGGTAATCACCTCATATCACCATATCATGATCAACATTTGTACAACAGGCACATCACACAGACAGGCACATCAACACCAACATAACACCCCCAACTATATCTTCCTCCTTTTGGCATCATCGAAAAATAACAAAAAGATGTTAGACATATTAAGTACAGTTAATGAAATATTCATGGTCATTTAGGCTATAGCAGAAGCTCAAGAATTATCAAAACAAACAGACTAAGTTGATGATCTAACCATGCGCGAAGCATTAAAATATTATAAGAGAAGTCATTTAGCAGTGCCAAAATAAGCCCAGGGTGTTGTATCAAATCATTAGAATAAAAACAACTAAACATCCTGAAACCTACTAAAACCATAACAGAAGAAACAAGAACTAAAGCATCACTGGGACAACAAAATAATATAAAGACACTGGGGAAAGAACAAGGTTCATGGGTGAGAGTTTCACAAGGGTGAAAATCTGTTGGGCATGAGCTTCTATGTCCCTTCTAAGCTCTTCCCTAAGCTGTCTGGTTTCTTTTCTCAACTCATCATTGTCTTCTCGAAGCTTGGCATTCTCCTCAACAACTAACTCAAACCTTTTAGTAAGCCTTGTTGCCTTGCTGCTACCAGGTAGAATAGCAAAATCTGTTGGTCCCCTAGCCTTGATCTCCTCCTAGCTAGCACGTCCCATATGGAAACTGAAGTAGCAAAATATGTAATTGATTCTCAAAAGAAAAGCAATGTGGCAAGTCATTTGGATCCATGGCAGCAATTGGAAGGCAAAGTGGTGTTTGTCGTTGGTTCATCGTCATGGCTCGGCCGTGAATTTCGCCTCGACCTAGCTAGGGCGGACTGTAAGATCCTGGCTGCCTCTCGTTGAGCGGACCAGTTGAAGTCCCCTTGTCATAAAATTAATAAAATGTCTAGTTCAAATTTGTATAGGCTAAAATATGTTTATATTAGATGATCGCGTGAGGAAGTGGCGCGTGGAGCAGGAAACAGAAGATGGTTGAATTCGAAGGCGATGATCCCGTCTGTTACCGGAGAGAATGATACTCATAGAGATTAAATAAATGCATGCCACCCGATAGCATTTAATGAGGAATATTCTATAGCATTAAGTACACAACCCGTTAGAAGGATTATGGCATTCACTACCCGCCGTTACACATTCTTCAATGGCTCTCATAATTGATATTAAAGAGGGGCTTGATCCTAGGACATTGTTCCCTAGATGCAACTATAAATAGTGAGTTCTATTATCATTGTAGAGAATATAAATTTTCTAGCAAATACATGCTACATTTTATTCAAAGATGAATATAATCTTTATCTTCTTGTTTACTGATATTGTTATTATTGTGTCCGAAAGCATAGCTCCCAGAACTACTATTTCTGCTATTTTATCTCCATCTCAAGGCTAAGTATCATTTTCTTATTTAATTCATCTATCATTTTAAGATCAAATTAATTCATTTATCTATAAACCATGTATAAATTCAACTATACCATTTTACGGGTAAACAGCTTGGTGCCCACCGTGGGACTTAGACAGTTGTGTAATTAAGTTGGTCCTTGTCTCTTTTACTAACGTGTTTGATTATTTGTACTCAGCAAAAAAACATAGAAAATGGAAGATAATGGTGTTAACAACACACACTACCTCGAGACCTAAGGAAATCAGCCTCGACACGAGGATTCAATCAGTGATACCCACAGTGAGGGGAACGAGTCAACTCTGGTCCACAACAGGCGGTACCTGCGACATGTTCGAGAGGCGACTTTTGATGATGTTGAAGATGCGCACGTCATCGAAGTGGTAAGGTTGTTGAAGGAGCAACAGGAGGCCATTTTAGGTCATCTCACACGGCAGGATAAGGTTATGACATAACTGAAGCAGGCGTTATCAGGTGCTTCTAATAACGCGAATGAGCGAGGTCCAGTTCCTCCCGGTTCTCCCGCAAATCAAACAACGTAAAGGGTCGACAACAACACCCCGAAGGGCGAGGTCGGCTTCGATGGGGACGGGAGAAATAGTTCCAGCACAATAACGAGAGCGATACCTTGATAAATGAGCTTTTATGGTTTATGAGGAAAGTGAACGCCCACATGGACCAAATCCCGGACGCACCACCAGTGCTGTAAGGGCTGGACTCATAACTCTCATTTTTAATATACAAATCACAATAAAGTGATTCCTCGAAAAAGCAAAAAAGATGCTTCCAAAAAGATCTTTTTAGTCTTCCACCCTTTCAAAAATTGTACTTTTACTAACCACGAACGCATGCACTTTGTTAGCAGGGGCGAAGTTAGGTGCACGGAAGGAGTTCAGTCGAACCCTCTTCGCTAAAAAATACACTATATATATAAGGTTAAATTTTTATTTATGTATATATATAGATTCTTAACTTATTCGCGTGTTTATTTTTATTTTATTTTTTGAATTTCCTTGGTGAAAATCCTACTTCCAACACTGTTTGTTACATATAATTTAGGTCGAACCAACGAACATACCTCTAACACCAGCATTGTTGATAACAACATCAATGTGGCCAAAAGCATCCCAAGCTTTCTTTACCGATGCTTCAATATTTGGACCATCAGCAGTAACATCAAGTTCAATAGCAACTTCTCTAATAAATTGAGAAGTTGAACTACACATTGTATTAATTTCATGACATAGGGACTTCAACCGGTCCGCCCGACGAGCGGCCGCCATGATTTTACAGCCTACCCTAGCTAGGTCAAGGCAAAATTCACGGCCGAGCCCTGACGATGCACCGGTGACAAACACCACTTTCTCTTCCAATTGCTGCCATGGCTCCAAATGGCTTGCCACTTTGCTCTTCTTTTTAGGCTCAATTACATATTGTGCTACTTCAGTTGCCATATTGCTATATATGTGGGATTTGCTCGCTACGAGTTTTTAGGTGTTTATTTTGAATATTATGGTTCTATATTTAAGAATATATATGTATATTTAAAGGATTTGAGCAAGGCTGTTAGGTAAACATCAAAATAGATATTCTACCAAAACTTTGCTTTCCTTAATTTTAAGTTGGTTTACCTTCGTTAATGTATTTTAGAATCTTTTATTGTTCGCGATGATACGCTTTCTACTAGTAAGTGTTAGTTACATCTCTATTCTCTTAGTAATAACTTTTTAGACTCTGCCTCCCGGTGCATTAGTTACGGTTCCCATGAATCCAGTAACTTTTGTCTAGATCCTGTATTTGTATTGAAAATTTTATTAAATGTATAAGAATATTTAGCTTGGAACCCAGTTCGTTAATCCAGTTATTATTGTATATTGACTTTAGATTTCTATAAGAATCCATAAACTTAAAATCATGTATCCGCCTCTGATACTTCCCTTTTGGTGTTCATATTTTGGTCATCAAATTATGACAATGTATACAAATATTTACAAAATTTCTATGGTCCAAATTTAAAAGATTTTTTGGGGTGCGACCGATCACCGAAATTAAATGTAAGAGAGGATCAAATAAATAATACAGACAGACATCTCTATAACAACATCCTTATATAATAACAATTCACTATAAAAGTCAAGTTTTTTCGGAACCAATTTTTATATTATGTTATAATATATGTTCTCTATAACAACACTTCGCTATAACATCTAAAAATATTCGGAACAAACGAGGTTGTTATAGAGAGATTTGACTGTACTATGCTTTTTAATTATATTTTTAAAAAATACTAGCTTGAGACTTATTTTTATGTATTTATAGCCATAAAAATGACATGACATATATAAGACCACAAGCTCTATTGATAAAAAAAAATCCTTTTCTAAACACCATACAGTCAAATACTGCCACATTAAAATAAAATTAATGCAGAGAGTAACATATTTACTTACTAAGTAAAGTAGTGTATATTGACATTTTCTAACAAATTATGATATTTGACTGAGTATGAAATTTAAGAAATATACAAAAACTTTTAGTACATATTAAAAATACCTTTAGAACTTTAAACTTTGTTCTTAAACAGGTGTCACGACCCAAAATCTCACCTATCGTGATGGCGTCTATCTCAATACTAGGCAAGCCGACAATCTCAATAAATCGCCATATCTTTTAAATTTTTAAAAAAATATAATAATTAAATTCAGCAGAAGAATCTCACAAATACAAATATAGACACTCCCAAAACCCGGTGTCACCGAATGCATGAGCATCTAATATGAATACAAAGTCTGACTGATAAAAACACAATCTGATAGTATAGAACAGTACAATAACTGAAAGAAAGAGAGTCAAGGTCAACGGACTTCAGGAAACTACCTTGATAGTCTCCAACAGATAGCACTCTGAGATCTAACGGTCGATGTGTCCGAAAGCACCTGGATCTGCATACGATGTGTAAAGTGTAATATGAGTACTACCAGATCAATAAGTAACAAGACTAACCTCTGGGCAGAAAGTAGTGATGAGCTCCGCAGGTACAGTCATGTACATAAATAATGGTACAGAAATATAGGCATGCCTTAAAGTTCAACAGTTAAACTCAGTACAAGCAAAAATAGATCAATACTGCATGATTTGAGGAATATGATATCTCAGCGGAAAGACCTCATGTACTACTAGTCATAATTCATTCGGTCACTCAGTATTGTTTATAGCCAATCCTGCCCAAGGATATTCCATCCCATATATATATAAACATCAACTGATTGTCAGTCACTCAGTACCTTATAAGGCCAATTCAACCCTAGGGTAATTTATCCCCAAATTTAAATGATATGGACAAGATCCGTGTCCAGAAAAATTCATCACAATATAAATACGTAAGGCAAGTCCATGCCCTGAGAAGTGCATCCCGAATATATAATCATTTACGCTCACTGGAGGTGTATACAGACTCCGTAGGGGTTCCTTCAGCCCAAGCGTGATATAAAACCGATATGGCCTACTGCAGGCGGGCAATCCCGATATGTATAGTAATAAAGCCTATAAGACCTGCTGCAGGCGGGCAACCCCGATCCATATAATAATAATAATATATATATATATAGCTAATATGGCATGCTGCGGCGCACAGCTCGATCCCATAAATATCTTCACAATGGACGAATATGACTGAGTGTGAAATGTACATTTTTAAAATAATTAATTCAACAGCAACACGACCCCATGAGTCCCAAAATATCGGCACGTAGCCTAAACATGATCTTTAATGAAAGCCTCAGCTAAATTTTCCTAACACGTGAAAAATGTTCAGATAATAACATGATTCTTTAATTTTACAACTTCATAGGATTTATTCAAATCACAATTTATATGGTGCACGTCCACACGCTCAACACCTATCGTGTGCGTCACCTCCAAACAATTTATATAACACTAAATTCGGGGATTCACACCCTCAAAACCAAGTTTAGAAATATTACTTACCTCAAATCGTGTAATTGTTTATTTTGCTATGCCCTTGCCTCGTGAATTGGTCTCTAAAAGCCTCAAATCTAGTCATAATTAATTCAATTCAGTCAATACAATTTATTGGAATTAATTCCATATGAAAATACTAGTTTTCCAACAAAATCCAAAATTTAACTAAAAACAACATACGTGGGGCCCACGTCTTGGAACCCGATAAAAGTTATAAAATATGAACGCCCATTCGACCACGAGTCTAACCATATAAATTTTACCAAATTTCGACATTAACTCGACCACCAAATCATCAATCTTATTTCCAAATCCCCAGGTCCAAATTCTCGATTTACACCTCAAAAATATGTAATCTAGTCGGATTATTTGATGAAAATTCAATATTATAGAGTAGAAATGATCACAAGTGACTTACCTCAAGTTTTCCGTGAATTCTCTCTGAAAATCGCCCCAAAGATCGTGCTTGAAAGTCCAAAAATGGCAAAACTCGCAACCCCTTCGAAATGTATATTGCCCGGGGGTTCCTCACCTGCGACTCACTTAGCCTCTTTTGCGGTCTCACATGGGCGAGAATCCAACTGCTTCTGCATACAAGAAGCCCGCTTCTGTGGTTTTGCCCACCCTCCCTTGCCTCCGCATCTGCGACCTTGGTGTCGCTTCTGCGAACTCACTTCTACAAGATTTTGTCGTCTTCTGCGGACTTCCCGCTTCTGCGATGCCATGCTCACTTCTGCGAGCTCGCACTTGCGAGCCAAATTCCACAGGTGCGATTGCATTAGAAGGCATAAAATTTCAGATTTCTTCCATGTCCAAAATTTAGTCCGTTAACCATCCAAAACTCACCAGAGGACCCCGGGACCTCAACCAAATACACTAACAAGTCCTAAAATATCATACGAACTTAGTCGAATTCTCAAATCACATCAAACAATACTAAAACCACGAATCATATCCCAATTCAAGCTTAATGAAACTAAGAAATTCCAACTTCTACATTCGATACTGAAACCTATCAAATCAAGTCTGATTGACCTCAAATTTTGCACACAAGTCATTATACTTTACTATATGTACTCGTATTTGTTTTAAATTCTAAAATTTACGGAAGACTTCAGTTATGGAAAGAAGAAGTTGAGATACTTAAGAGAATTAAATTTTGCACATATGCAATAAAAGTTACTTAACAAAAATCTTTGATATCATAATACCTCTTTTTTAAATCTTTTATATTTGATAAAAGTATTTATGTTAATTTACCCTATTCAAGCTTTTTTTTTAGAAATACAAGAAATCTTTGTCAAGATAAATTAGTAGATATTTTCCTTTTTGTTAATCAGTAGTCACAACTCTTGTATTTGAGAAAAATACGGGATAACATTTTGATCAATAAAATAGATTTATAATTGATCAATAATTATGTGTTAGATATCACATTATCAAAACTTATCATAAAAGAATAAGAACTTGACGTGCAAGCATTGGGTTTAAAGTTCAAACAATATGAAACTTTATTTTTCTTCAATTATGTGGAATCAATTTCATCTTCAAAAAGTTAAGATGAAGTTTCCTTCTTGATGAAGTTTTTAAACCCGCACCCGCACTGTACCCGCATAAATTTTAATTTATTTTTCTTCTGACCCGCCTCGTCCCGCTCCGCAACCGCATATGCTTAAACCCGCACCGTCCCATTACCATCCCTATATGCATGAGAAAAGTAAGAGTTTGATTAATTCCTAGATCAATAGTTTAAACGGATTCTTATATCATCACATTACCTAAAAGATAATTAGAGATCATCTATAATAACTTAATAAGCCAACTTAATTACCTAAAAATCTTGGTTGAACGCTTATTGTTCTCTAAAGATATTAGTGATGATCTTGGTTGAACCCTCAGCTCAGCTTCAGTCTATACATTGCAGTGGACATCAATCTAATAGGGGAACTTTCAGAAATAACTATTGATTGGAGAGAAATTTTATTTTGTGTCTCACATTCAACGTCATACTTATGTGAGGCCCTTAATTACTTGGCAAGTAGATTTATGGGTCCCATTTGTTTACTTTGAAGATAAAATTAAAAGAAGCAATTTAAAACTCATTTAATATGTATGTATACGCGTAAAACCGGGGCTAATGAGTACCCTAATTTTTTGGTGGGGCAAACAAGCAAAGACGCAACTAAAAGAAATCAAAATCGAAGCTGGGAGCCTCCCGTATCAATGCGCGAACAAAATACCTGCTCTCGGAGCCATAAAGACTATGGCCTTCGGACCGGGTTCGAGACCTCGGAAAGTATTGCCAAACGTCCGCACACGATTAACAAAGGACTGTGATATCAATGCCCGACCGGATATCACGACGTGAATCTCGGCCCGTATCGGCAGCAGATCAGTGATTAGAGAAAAGGAAGATCTTTTCCTTTCTTAGAATTGTGCTTAGGGTAAAACACTCCTATTATATAAAGGGAAA